CTCTCCCTATCCCTTCCGCTCTGTAAAAAAAATCAATAAAATATATTTAAAAAAATAAATTTATGGCAAGGTGAGTTCTATTAAATTCTAACAGAATTCAAAAATTAACTTTTTCTTTTATGACATTTTAAAGTTTAATATTTAACTCGGGTCAGCAACTTTTTCTAGAAAAGGCCAGAGGGTAAATATTTTGGGACCATATAGTCTCTGTCTACTGTTTATGGCCAGGGACGCCATAAACAGTGTATAACCAAGGGAGTCCAGCTGTATTCCCGTAAAACGTTACTTACACAAGAGTAGATGACAGCTGGATTTGCTTCCTGGTGGTTTGCATTTCCCTAATACAGCATGACTGACAGCAGTCAAACCAAGTGAGTCCAACCCAGTAAATGACGCTCACTAACCAACAATGAAAATAATGACATTTCCCTTTTTCTTCTTTTTAAGTAAACTAAAAGATTCAGAGAAGAAGAACTTGGAACTGCTATCAGAAATCGAGCAGCTGATCAAGGACACCGAAGAGCTTAGATCTGAAAAGGGTATGGGAATGTTTTTGTGTCAATCAGGACTTAATATTCTGCTGTGAATGTATTTTTATTACACAAGGACCAGCTTATTGTGTAGGTGGAAGAATTGTTCACCCTAGCAGTCTGGCATCCCTATATGGCTATTGGGATCCATTTATAGGTGTGTGTGTGTGTGTGTGTGTGTGTGTGTGTGTTACACACATATTTGGTAGTTTGGTGTCTGAGTCTTTTTGTTTTACTTAATATACATTGTTTAGAGATTGATTTTAATAGAACTCACCTTGTCATAAATTTAACTATTTTTTCAGTGCCTACTTCACGAATAATATTTTTGTGATTGGAAAAAGGTATCTTATACTTTCTATTCTTCTCCCAGGGTAGTTGAAGAAAGAATGTATGAAATAACTAAAGTTTAATCTAATCCAGTATTAAAAGAGCAATTCAAAGATAAAAATTATTTTGGCATTTCAGTGTCTTCTTCCATATTTGACTCTTAAATTGCTTGCCCTGAGGAATTTCCCAGGATTTATTCCCATTTTCTAGAAACAGTAATTACTTAAGCATTTTTTCCGTTAATGTGAAAAGCAACAGTGTTTGGTAGCTATATTACCTGAACTTCTTAAACTTTCTTTCCATAATATGGGCATTCAGAAGGTAAAAATTTAATAAAAAGAAATTCAGAATGTTTTTAATGACAGGGTCTCTTCTATGCAATAACGAGAAATTCGTTTTCCTGACAAAGTCAGTATTCCTGACCTAATTCCAACCCGGTTAGTGGGCTCTGTGTTATGTTGTGTGCTTCCCTGCACTTTGCAGCCCCGTGACACACACTGATGTCAAATAGTTGGGTCTCTGCATCTGCTGAGAATTGTGGAAGAACAAGGTAATCACATTAAAGGAGTTAGCGTGGAAAGGCCATTAAAAGTAGTAGATGTGCAATAAATGTGGGTTGATAGGATTTCCTAGTGGACAGGAAAGGAAGGAACCCAGAA